ATGTCCGTCTGTCTGCTTGTCTGCATGTCTTTCGGACTGCCCATTTGTCTGTCTGTCCGACTGCCTACCTGATTGCAAGTTTGTAAGCCTCTTTGTCTGCCTGTCTGCCTTTCTGTTTGTGCATCTGCCTACTTGTCTGGCTGTCGGTCCGTCTGTCTGTCTGTCTGTCCGTAGGTCTGTCCGGATACCTGCCTGTCCGGATACCTGCCTGTCTGTCTGCCTGCCTGTCTGATTTCCTGTCCGTATGTATGTCCACCAGTCTGTCTGTCTGTATGTCTGCTGCCTGTCTGTTTGCCTGACCGCCTGCCTTGGTGTTTGCCTGCCTGCCTGTATGTCCGTCTGTCCATCCGTCTGCCTGTCTGTTTGCTTGTGCTTCTGCCTGTCTGCTTGTCTGTGTTGCTGTCTGTCTGACTATCTTTCTCTCTGACTTCTTATTTTCCTGACTGTCCGAATGACTGTCTCCCTGCCTGTTGATCTGGTATAAGAAATAGTATAAGCTACTGGTACGTGTCTATGAATACGTCTAATAATACATCAAAAGGTTGGTTGGGGGTAGACGGAGTCCAAAAATAAAAGGTCCTCCGACTTGCTACATACCTGTTTTTCTGTCTGTCTTGTTGGCCATCTGTTTGTCTTTTACGTAAAGTAATGCGGTCAATCCTCAATGACATCCTTAATGAATGAAGACATTCAAATCAGTTGAAGACACCCGAATCACTCATCCCGAAACTTGGGTGTTTGGAACACTCCCTTTTTATACTCTTTACTCGTGGAGTAAAAGGGTATACTAGATTGGTTGAAAAGAATGTAAGAGATAGAAAGAACCGTTTTCGACCCTATATATTATATATATTCTTGATCAGGATCAATACCGAAGTCGATTGAGCTATGTGAGTCTATCCGTCCGTATGAACGCTGAGATCTCAGGAACTGTACAAGATACAAAGATGAGATTAAGCATGGAGATTCTGCCACGTCCACTATAACGCCCAAAAATCACGAAAAATTAAAATCGCGGAAATCTCGGGAACTATAATAGCTAGAAAATTAGGCTTAAGAATAATTATTTAAGAGATGCCACTGCAACTTTCCACGAGTTTTTATCCGGCCACGCCCATTCTTACGCTTACAAACCGCGGAACACTGTTGCGACTATAATAATATTATGAATGCCTTCGTTTGTCGTTGTATAACTTATTTCTGTCAATATCTATCGATTTTTCAAATTGGAACATTATTTCTATACTTATGAAAAAATTTAGGTTATAAGGCCTCACATGGGCAGTGGTGTCACTATCAGTTACTCAACATGCTTTCTCTGACAATAGGTGGCGCCTTGTAAGTTTCCACACCCAAAATGAATATTTAAAATTGTCTAAAACAGTAACGGGTATCGTCACGGCACTCGACTATAGCGTTTCGTCTTGTTTGTGTTTTTGTGTGTTTATGCAATAGAATCGAGTGCATAGAATTGAGTGAGTGACAAAAAAGCAAATACACAAAACACCAAAAGCGATTCGTGCGTTCCGGTGTACTCTTTTCTTGATGGTCGCGAGTGCGGCAAACACTCGAAATGTATAAGTGTGATTCGGGTGCCAAAAAAGACACCCATGACGTTCTCTGCAATCGCAGCTCTAAGTGGTATTTTCATGCAGCCACGCCCACTCTAACGCCTTCGAACGACGAAAACGGTGGTGTCCAAAATATTTAAATGTATCCCTTTGTTTACTTGAAATAATATTTCTAGTTTTTATCTATTGATTTACCAAAGAATTTTCAAATCGTAACATCAACGTCACCATCAGTTACTCAATATAGTTTTTCTGACAAAAGGCTCTTTGTGTAATTCCACTAGCAAAATTAATATTTTAAAATTGTGTAAAACTGTAACAGATATCTTATAGTCGCGGCAATCGCATTTTTTCTTGTTTTACTTCCTTTTCTATTTGTTTTAATGTTGATATGCAAACAGCTAATTTTGAAAAAGATGCCCAGGGCTTTAACTTCAAAGCTGTTATCGATAACCCTGGCCCAATTACATTTGTCCTTATTATCTTTGTAAGCATAGCGATCGAAAAGCCGTTGGCTTTTGCATAGGCATTTTTGTTAAGGCAATCTTGAATAATAAAACATCATACTTTCGGGATTAAACTTTTTAAGGGGTTTAACTCATATAATATTGTATGATTTTCATTATAAATCATTATATTATATTATTATAATGAAAAATAAATCTGTTTTGTATTTATAAAGTACCTTAAAAGCTTAAATATTTTTTATACAATCGCTTTATTTCATCGTAGATGTTATATATTATACAATATACATTATACTATTAAATAGACAATACTATCTAAGTGGAAACACATAAACTTAAAAATGGTCATACTAAAACATTAAAAGCACATAAAAGGCTTGCTATTATTTATTATATTATCCTTAGATTGATCATTTGCCACTCTTTCCTTCATTAGAAAATTAGAAACTTAATGTCGAGTGCCGCGGCTATCAAATGCATGTTAGTTTCCTAAGGTATGTTTATTATTATGATCCAGATAAATTTTGTACATTTATACCGGTAACTCGTCGAGTAAAAGGAAATATTAGATTCGTTGAAAAGTATGTAACAGGTATAAGGAAGTGACCCTTTAAAGTATATATAAATATTCTTGATCAGGATCAATAGCGAAGTCTATTAAGCCTTGTCTATCCGTCCGTCCGTATGAACGCAGAGATCTTAGGAAATAAAAGACATACAAAGTTAAGATTAAGCGTACATGAGTATGTAGCCAACGCGCAGATGAAAATATTTTTCATTTTTAATGAAAACAAGAGGAAACTCTATAGTGGAGTGCCGCCACTATAAGATACCTATTCCAGTTTTACGCAATTTCAAAATATTAATTTTGCTAGTAGAATTACACAAAGTGCCTTTTATCAGAAAAACTATATTGAGTAACTGATGGTGACGTTGATGTTGCGATTTGAAAATTCTTTGGTAAATCAATAGATAAAAACTAGAAATATTATTCCAAGCAAACAAAGGGATACATTTAAATATTTTGGACACCATCGTTTTCGTGGTTCGAAGGCGTTAGAGTGGGCGTGGTTGCATGAAAATACCACTTAGAGCTGCGATTGCAGAGAACGTCATGGGTGTTTTTTTTGGCACCCGATTCACACTTATACATTTTAAGTGTTTGCCGCATTCGCGACCATCAAGAAAAGAGTACACTCAATTCTATGCACTCGATTCTATTGCATAAACACACAAAAACACAAACAAGACGATACGCTATAGTCGAGTGCCGCGACGATACCCGTAACTGTTTTACACAATTTTAAAATATTCATTTTGCGTGTGCAAATTTACAAGGCGCCACCTATTGTCGGAGAAATCATGTCGAGTAATTGATAGTGACGTCACTGTCAAATAATTTTCCGATTTGAAAAATCTTTGGAAAATCGATAAATATTAACAGAAATAAGTTATACAAGGTCAAACGAAGGCATTCATAATATTATTATAGACGCCACAGTGTTCCGCGGTTTGTGGGCGTTAGAGTGGGCGCGGCCGTATGAAAACTCGTGGCAAGTTGCAGTGGCATCCCTAAAATACATATTCTTAAACCTAACTTTGTAGCTCTTTTACTTTCCGAGATATTTGCATTTTTGGTTTTTCGGGTTTTGTGGGCGTTAGGGTGGGCGTGTCTAGATGAAAAAAAGCAATTCGCATTTAGGGCATCATAAAAATCTACATGCTTAATCCGAACTTTCTATCACTTATAGTTACCGAGATATCAGGCTTACTTGAAAATGCGAAAACCGTCTTTTGAACTTGGTGGGCTTATGTGTGGGTGTGGCCAGATAATAGTACCACTAAAAGATGCGCTGGCATCCAAAGTTTATACATACTGAATTTGAATATTCTAGCTCTAATGGTTCCCGAGATTTCAGCGATTTTAGTTTTTCGCGATTTGTGGGCGTTAGAGTGGGCGTGGCAGGATGCTGAAATAAACTTGCGCTGTCCCGGGACCTCAAGAATCTTCATGCTTTATCCCAACTTTGTATCTGTTATAGTTCCTGAGATCTCAGCGTTCATGTAAAATTATTCGGTCAACCCTCAATGACCTGCTCATGCAATACAGCTGAAGACACCCGAAACACTCAGATCAGTTGAAGACACCCGACTCACTCATCCCAAAAACATGGGTGTTTCAGACACTCCCTTCAATTGCTATGAGTGTTTTGGGTGTCTGTGCATTAGAATCATGTGCATAGAATTGAGTGGGTGACAAAAACGCAAACACTCAAAACACACAAAGCGATCTGTGCACTCGGGTGTGTGCTCTTTTCTTGCTGTTCATGAGTGCGACAAACACTCGAAATGTATAAGTGTGATTCGGGTGCCGAAAAAAGACACCCTTTACGTTCTCTGGTCCATACGCATCAGAAGTTATAACAGCATCTTGCCACGCCCATAAAGCACAGAAAACTATTATTCCTGAAATCTCAGAAACGATTGAGCTAGAAAGTTGGGATTGAGTATGTATAATCTTGAGATGCCAGCCCACCCTTATCTGCCTATGCCTACTCTTACACTGACCAAGCTCGAAATGTTTTCCCTTTTGTAGAAAGGCTGATATCTCGATAAATATATGTGATAGAAAATTGGGATTAAGCATGTAGTTTTTCATGATGAACCAATGCGAAATAATTTCAATTTACACATCTACCCACGGCCACTATAGCGTCCACAAAACACGGAAAACCAAATATGCGAAAATCTCGGGAACTATAAAAGCTAAAAAGTTAGTCTTAAGAAAAGGTATTTTGCCACTGCAGCTCGACGTGAGCTGCCACGACCACTGTAAAACCCACAAAACTCGGAAAACTGTGGCGACCGTTATGTTATAATGTATGTCTTCGTTTGGCCTTGAGTAACATTTGTCAATATCTATCCAAATTATATTACCAAAGATTTGTTGAGAAACTTTTTTTTACTCAATAGATTTTATTACCGTAATAAATGACAATGCTGTGCGACAGATCTGCAAAAAAAATAGGATAACTTTAAATTTTGTTATACATATTATGATTTTACCCCAACGAAATTGGCCAGAGATGCAACAAAAAAACCAGCCCTAATAAGAATTTCCTTTTGAGATTGTTGTATGATTACTGACAAAGATCTTCGTAATTTCGGAGAAGCCAGATACCAGTTGGAAAGCCGAAAAGCGATGTCAATTTGTAGACTCTACAATAAATGTAAAAAGTAAAAAACAAGAAGAAGCGCTATAGTCGACTACAGATACCCGTTAGAGTGATTTTCTATTTTAAGATAATTTTGCTGGCAGAATTTGACACAGTAAATAATTTCACTAGCGCATCATTTTGTCAGAAAAAGGCTATTGCCCATTGAGGCGGGATGTGGGCGTGACCAAATAAAAAAACGCTCAATCCTGACTTTCCAGCTCATATATTTCCCAATAACTATAACTATAACTAAGCATCATTGGGATGTTTAATCCTAATTGCTATTGATTCTGATTAAGAATATACACTTTATATCAGGGGTGCTCAACTCCAATGCTCTCAGTGCTCAATTGTTTTTGTAAATGTTTTGCTCATATGGGCTTTCTCAGACATAAGCTTTGTGCGCTCGCGGGGCTATTCTTGTTCTTGTATTTGTGTTAGTAAATGCTCTTCCATAAGACGAATTTGAGCACCCCTGCTGTATAGGGGCGGAAACGCATCCTTTTACCTGTTACATACTTTTCAACATATGCATTAGATCCTTTTACTCGACTTATAACTGGTATAAATATTTATAAAACTCACCTCAGCCTTTATGATTTCTCCGCCATAACAGTATATAAATAATTGTAGCATGATGGATCCAAAAAATGACGCATACAATAACAGATCCATAACCGAGTCCATGTTCTGAATAAGGGAGTAACTTGTTCCTTAAGTAATGGTAATTCAGGAAAACTGTTTACCTACCTTTACTAGCTGATAAATTATAACACCAACCTGCAACGATGTTATTACAAATTGACCAAACACGGTGGCGGTATAAGTCGCTCGCAGTTTTCCGGATAATAATATAAGTAGCTGGTGGTACCTTACAATTGATGTTAATCCCTCTTGTACCTTCTTTTCGGATGAAGAAAATTTCGAGTTTTCAATTATATCCTGCAATGTCCGAAAATGAGCTCGCAGATTTATAGCGAATGATATAAATAACCCGTCCACCGCTGAGGCGTAGGCAACAACAATAACAGTGACTACGACAGTATATAGAAAAACAAGTTCATATCCTGGACTTTGAAGGTCGCTAAATGGGAACCTAAAAAGAGCAAATAAACCAATAAATTCGACAAACCCTTATTTATTTCTTACTTCATAGGCATAGGCAGCTCCCTTACATATATTGTTTTATGCGAACTACTGGTCAACATTTTTATAATGGGCCCCAGCATGAAATAAAGCCCTGTTAAGCCGCAGGACACGCAATACGCCTTTCCCAAAAATGCTGCTTGTTTATTAGCTTTAGTTACGTAGTCTAAACCTTTTGCGTTTCTGGGCGTTTGCTTTGCTGCTTAAAATTAAAATGTTATCAGAAATTATATATCCAAGAATTTACCATCCTATTTACATTGGTGTTGCATTTTTCTGAAGCGGCGAATCATATCCCAAAAAGCTTGCCTGTTTACCAGAAATGTAGTAATTTTAATAACTGTTAGAAAGTTGGTAAGCATTACACTCAAACAAGCTGTGACTTTTTCCACTTCATTTCGATTGTAGGCTGCATAAGATATCAAAGGATACTGGGCTGATGTGACTAAAAGGAGAGAGCTTATATGTTTGAAGCTCAAAGATCTAAGCTCGGTACTATCCATGTCATCGCTATGCCCCATCGCCCGCAGGCAATTCTCCTGCAGTTCAAATAGTTCGCCCATGATACGATTTTTCAAAGTTACAACGTATTCTTTTGGTTAGGACTGTTATATAAACTTAGGAAACATTTGAATTAATAATTTATTTATTGGTTTTCGAAATGATGTATTACAAACTATAAGGCTAATTACCGTTATTTAAGATGTAAAGCATTGTGCTGACACACTAATGACTCTCAGGAACTATAAGAGATAGAAAGTTGAGAATAAGCCTGAAGGTTCTTGATGTCCATACGCAGCGCAAGTTTATTTATTTATATTAGCATCCTGCCACGCCCACTCTAACGCCCACAAATCACGAAAAACTAAAATCTCTGAAATCTCTGGAACTATTCGAGTTAGAAATTTGAACGTCAGAATGTATAATCTTGGGATGCCAGCGCATATTATGGTAATACCATATCCACCATTACGGCCAAAAATTAATTATTTGTCAAATACAATATTTATTATGTTTTTTAAATCAAAAAGAACTGTATATCAATATAAAAACAAGATGAAACGCTATATTCGAGTGTGGCAACTATAAGATACCCGTAAATGTTTTATATAATTTTAAAATATTCAGTTTGCAAGTGGAAATTCAAAAAGCCCCACCTTTTGTCAGAAAAAGCAAACTCTCTAGCTCTTTTAGTTCCCGAGATTTTTGCTTTTTTGGTTTTCCGCATCGAGTAGGCGTAGCCAGATGGGAAAAAAATAATACGCATTGGGGCATCATTAGCAACCACATGCTAAGTCCCAACTTATTATCACTTATAGTTACCAAGATCTCAGCGTTTCTACAAAAAGCCGGCGTAGCCGGATAGTGGCCTCACATAGACAGTGACGTCAGAATCATTTAGTAAACATGCTTTCTAAAAAAAGGTGGCGCTTTGTCCATTTCAAACTAGTAATACAGTAACGGGTATCTTATAGTCGCGGCACTCTAATATACCAATTAATTTTTTTAAGGATACCTTATACCATTATTTCTTGGCCTTTAATAGCAACAATTTTGTAATCAAAGTGCGGATAAGCGTGTCAGCACGACGATTTTACATCGGCAATAAGAGAAATTAGCCCACAGTTTAAAATATATCATCGGCGAAACAAATAATTAATTTTTAATAACATACTTCAATACTTCAATTCAAAAGTTTATATAACAATTGTTACTAGCACTTGTTGACATTTCTAAAGGCTTAAACTGCCAGAGAACTACGGGCGGGCGATCGGCAACAACGACGGCACGGATAATACCGCATTGAGTTTCAAGCATATAAGCTCTCTGTTATTTATTATTGGCGCAGTACGCTTTGAAAACCCATGTGGCCTTTAATCGAAATAAAGTGGAAACGATATAGTCTAGTACCGCGTCTAGTACCGTTACTGTTTTATCCATTTTAAAATATTGATTTTGCTAGGGGAAACCTTAGCAACCTTTTGGTAGAAAAAGTATGTTCAATACCATCAGTTATTGACGTCACTTTCCATGCGGGGCCTAATAACCTACATTTCTTTATAAGGAGCGTAATAATGTTCCGATTTGACAACTCTTTAGATAGATATAAGCAAAAAAAAAATTGGCATTAAGCATGTAGTTTATAATGATCCCCCCAATGCGTGTTATTTTTTCTCCATCTGGCCGCGCCCACTCTAACGCCCACAAAACTAATAAAACCAAAAATGCTAAGATCTCGGTAAGTGAAAAAGCTAGAAAACTAGGATCAAATATAATTATTCGTGGGATGCCACCACCGCTCACAAAAAAATCGGTGAGATCCCAGAAATTATAAGAGTAAGAAGTGCTAGCGCCGCAAACAACGAAAAACGGTAGCCGCATTCTCAAAGAATAAGTTATCGGTAATTAAGCATGTAGTTTCTAATGCTGCCCCCAACTTGTCTTTGTTTTCCCCATCTGGCCAAGCCCACTCTTACGCCCAGAAAACTCGGAAAACTAAGAACGCTAAGATCTCGGGAACCATACGAGTTAAAAACAGTTGAGCTTAGGCATTAGTATTCTAGAGATGCCACCGCAGTTCAAGGTGATTTTTCATCCGGCCATGCCTACAAACCGCGGAAGTCTGAGGTGTATGTTTTCATTTAACATCGTATAACATTTTTTTACTTTTACTAAAGTGGCTCACAAAAAATGCTACTACGCCTGTTAACTGCTATTGTTAAGACAGTCACGGTTAAATATCTAAATGAATAACTGAAAACATGACTTGTAAATGATTCATCGAAAGCTTACTGGTTTACGAGATATCGAGCTCCGAAGCCGGACCCACCCGTTGTTTTCGATCGCTCATTTATTTTCAAACGTTTTTTTTCCAAAGTGGAGTGTTTTCAAAGTGTTGACACGAAATTGTAAATTGTTATTGACTTACAAAAAATATGGCTAAGTTTCGACACAAGGGTTTTTGAAAAACTTTTTTTTTATATCTTACAGTCCAGGTCTTTTGAGCTAAAAGACAAATTTGGTAAAAAAAGTTTTTATTTCAAATTTTTAACATTTTGTCAAATTTTTCAATAGTTAATAAAGGTTATGTCCAAATTGCTTTTTTGGTTTCGAGCTTTTGACGCCAACAAGCGGACAATACCGGAGCGGCATTAGTTTACACAACGACACGCCCAAAACACAATTTTTTTTAACCATTATTGATTTATTTGATTTCATATAAAATTTTTATACCAAAATAAAAAAATTGCGCAAATATCATGTGTAGTGGCAAGTCAATCCATCGTCAAAAACAGTGTAAGTAAGAAGTAATGTAAAACGTAACGTAAAAGGTAATCTCGAAATACTTTAAATGTATACTAAAGGTCAAGCTTAAGTTTATATTCATCATGTTTTCGTCATCCGGACACTCCTACTCTTTATTCGCAACAACATTGTTTATGTTTTATTTGACTCATGGCATTTTTGGGTCAACACTTATCAATATACCAACAATTATTCAAATCCTAAAAATTTCATTAAAATATTAAGCTTATAAAGCCCTCTAAGTTACTTAACCATCGATAATTAAACATGCTTAATATTGTTCTGGCAATGAGTGGCGCTGGTAAGTTTGTGCACGGCGTCAAAAATTAACTAAAACAAAACTATTATTTTAAAATTTGTTTTCACAGTTAAGAATATTTGTTTTGACAATAGCCAAATAAAACAACACCTTTTGGTTAAATTCAAGAGCAATGAAGTTTTATAATTATATTAACAAATTTTTATACTTGGGACTGTGAAGTTGCTTCTGGGGATCATGACATAACGGTTAAAAGTTGGGTGGAAGGTATGCATTGCCCGTTTGCGTCCCGACGGAGAGGACTTGCCCAGCTCCAGCGCCTGTTACGGCGGATCCGGCTTCGGTGTGCCCATCACTGCCTCCAAGTGCTCCAATAACAGAGGTAACGGGGGCCACACCCTCATCTGTCAGCTGGCTGCTTCCGCCCAATGCGTCATATTGCGCTTGGATCTGTTGCTGAGCGTGGGCGGCCTCTTCGTTGGTCTTGTACTTTATGAAGAAGACCTCCGGTTTGCTAGTAGAGCTGGCTTGCTCCACGACCTCAGCGTTTACATCGTTCTCGCTCTTCTTACTTAACACGTAAATGACGGTCTTCTCCTCGTTAACGGCGGGACTGATCTTAATGGTTTTCTTATTATTACGCTGGGGCGACTTTATGAACACCACATTATAGTTCCGCTTAGGGACGCCGACGGTAATGTGACTCTCTTTGTAGTCCTCAGACTCCTCTGGGGCTGAGTGGATGAAGAAGCGCTTGGACACGATTGCTTGCTGGTGCTGGGCATGCTGTACCGACTGTACCTGCTGTTGATGATTGTGAACCTGTACTGCTGGCTGCTGGTAGATGGCCTGTGGGTGAGAGGCTCCCTGGAAGAAGGATGCGCCACCACTCGCCGTGCTGATGCCATTAAAACCGGAGGGGACAGGATTGTAGTTATAACCCTGAGGCGCAGCCAGCGCAACGGCAGAAAAACAGAAAACCTAATGAGTAATAATAAAGGATTAGTCTGGTAACTAATTGGTAGGTATCTCTAAGTATGTACAATGAATCCTCTCATTTCTAGGTTGAGCTGATTAAGTTGGACGGGAAGGACTTATGTTTTGACTGCCTAAGTAGCTCGTAGTGAACTGTATGACTTTTGGTTTGCTCGATGGGTTTTTATACATAACTCACATTTTTAAGTCTGACAACGAAACTGGCACTCGAAAGGTATTAAGTGAAGTTCGAAAATTCGCTGCAGAGCCATGAAAACAGCATCACATCTGCCAAAAAAAAAATGCGCGTAGCCTCCATTTGTTGCATGTTCATTGTATTTGTTTTAGCTTACTTCGTCTTCTGCTACTCTTTGCCGCTCACCTTAGCATTTCTCATTAAATGTCGAGAGTTGCTTTTAGTTGCTGTCAATACATGGCCAAATAACGTTGTTCCCCCAAAAGAGTCTTTGTTGTGGTGCTTAATTGTTAGCCCCGATACTCTGACATCGATCCGCGAACATCCCACCGCTGTATTAAAAACATAATTACAAAAGCAGCTTATTAAGAGCAGCATAGAGCTGATTATCGTAGCGCGGTGTAAATATCACCGATCGCCTTAGCTCCAGAGAAGTAAAAAAATTCAGTATCTTCAGTCTAAGCCACCGCCGATTTGCGTTGCCTGGATTAGTTAATTCGACGAGGTCAATATTTTTCCTCTTCTCTTAAACCGATCGTTTCTTCATCAGTTGCAACAAAACTCATTTATCATCTCTAGCGGTCAGCATTAACTTTCTCCCTCACTCCCTTACTCTACCACCTAGAGACTCAATAGTCTTTTTTATTTATAAAGTAAATTCAAAATCCGTCCCTCAATTTTTGGTATACCTTAATGAACTTGGCATGTTCATTTTTCATTTACGGATTTCACCTTATTTTAAAAACGGATTACATTAATAGTCTTGCAAGTGTGGAACACCCATTCAAGATCAAAAAAGTATATTAAAGTTGAGTATTATACTCGTTACTGGTAGAGTAAGGCGGTATAATGTGTTCGTTGAAAAGTTAGTAACAAGTAGAAGGAAGCGTTTCCGAGCCTTTAAAACATACAGCTTACCATTACCATTACCAACCATTATACATTAACCATTAAAGTGCTTGCACGAAATAAGCTTTTTCGTCAAAATTGCCATATATTTTAGTTTTTGTATGAAAAATTATTTTGTTTTTTAAATTAGTAAAAACTTTTGTTATTATTTTAATAATATGCGACATTCTTAACATAACTGCGTAATTTTTTTTTTTTGATTTATTCTTGCACGAAATAAGCTTGGATCCACTGTATATATTCTTCATCAGGTTTAAGAGCCGTGTCTACGTCCGACTGTTTCATGTCCGTCTGCCCGTATGAACGCATAGATTATTATTAAAACACGGAAAACCCAAAGCGCTCCAATCTCGCTAACAATAAGAGCTAGAACGGTAGAACCATTAATACATAGTTTAGAGATGACACTGCTCTCGGTGCCTTTTCATCTGACCACGCCCAGTCTAACGCCGACAAATCTCGGAAAACTGTGGCCTCCATACCATTCAAATGTTCGTTTTCATTTGACCTTGTACAACATTTTTTTGACAGTGCGTACTGCGCGTTCGTTTACTTGTCAATTAAAATTAAACAAATTGTACTTTAAATTTGTATAACACAGCAAAGGGTATCTCATAGTCGCGGCGCTCGACTTAAGAATTTCATTCTGTTAATATAATCAATTCTTTGAAAAGTTTGTAAAATGTAATGTAAATGAAAAGCGTTTCCTACCGTACAAAATCTATAAATTCTTGATAAGGATCAATAGCCATATTTGTCTTATTTTTCGCACGTCCGTTCGTCCGTATGAACGCAGAAATGTCGGGAACTATAAGAGATAGAAATTAAAATAAAAATAAAATTAAAGATTTAAGTTTTATACACTACTGGAAAGCGCTAGTTAGTTTCACATTCCTACCATGTCCACTCTACAACAAAACTACAAGAACAAACACAGCTCAAGGTTATAAGTGTTAGGCTTCTATCAACATCTATCGGACTATCAAACATTTTTAAGTACTATTATATTTATAAACGTATTTTGAAGTTTAGGTTTCAAGCTCCCTCATGGGCTGTGATGTCACCGTCCGCTAATTAAAAAAATGTAAAATGTACACCACATAAATATTTGATAGCAAAATTAATATTTTAAAATGAATTATCAAAGTAGCGCATTTCTTCTTTTTTCCTTTAATAAGGTAAAATAAGGGAAAGTGCTATAGTCGAGTGCCGCGACTATAAGATACCCGTTACAGTTTTACACAATTTTAAAATATTAATTTTGCTAGTGGAAATTCACAAAGCACCACCTGTTGTCAGAAAAAGCATGTTGAGTAACTGATAGTGACGTCACTGCCCATAGAACAAATTTTCCGATTTAAAAAATTTTGGAAATCTATAAATATTGACAAAAAAATGTTTTACAAGGTCACGCGAAGACATAGACTATAATATTATGAACTAAGGCTAAGTTCAAACCCCGTAAGGAAGAGATAAAAACATATTTTTTGTTTAGATTTTTATGGCTGTTATGTACCTGACCTTCCAGATGGCATGGAAATCTGGAAATTTACCATATTATGGATTTAAGGATAGGTTTTCAAATTATTGGGAAATAAAATGTGATATCACCCATCACCTGGCAATGCCAGAGATAGTGGATGCCTAAATAGAATTATTATGTTTCGATGAAAATAAAAAAAATAGAAAAATCTTTCATATTATACAAATATCCATTTTTAAATCGATTTCATTAAAACAATTATTGCAATCTTTATAAAAATTAGTTTAAAATGTCATAAAATAATAAATTCCTTTTCCACGTAAATACAATGGTTTAATATTCGGATATAAAGTGGCTTTATTTCAGTTTGACAATGTAAAGCTAAATAAGGTACTTGTTTGGCAGAAAGAAAGTTAATTCAAGCATAATTGTCCTTTAAGACAACAAGAGCGTCAGTCCTAGTTATCACATACTCGGACGGGATTATGAGAAATATAAGATCTTATTTTTTATTTTGAGAGTTTTGGGTAAAACTTATTTGTTGTAAAGAAACCCATCAACAAAGTAGTTATCAAATTAAGGCCAAAAGATATCTGGTAGATTGAAAGCCCGAAAACAATTAAGTGATCCGTGCACCAAAGAAGATATAAGACCGATTATATTGCTGAAAATTGCTTTATAAATTACTCTACGAAAAAGAATTTTTGGTTATTGCTTTAACTAAAGGAGAGACATACGTTAGGGTGTCCCAAAGAAGTATACATTTCTTTTTAAAGCATACCCTCTAAATTTGTTTGAATGATGTTGAAAGAAATTGACAACGCGATTTGGAGTGGGTAGGATAACGAAAACCCGTGCCGACTTGCATTTTAACTTGTCGATACTTCATTACTACGGTCGAAACGTTCGAACGGTCAATGTGCCATTGTTTATAAAGACTTTCTTCCACTTCAGACAAATAGTTTTCGTTCGGTCTACATGCCAGTTGAATTACGAAGTGCTAAAAATAATATATTCTTAATAGGTTATGCAGAACACCAAATGCCGGGTTCAAAACGCCCTTCTAATAAGCAAGTCTTAGCAGTTTTATTCTTCAACATGCGTCAAGTGAATTTAACTTTAAATGAAAGTGCAAATCTTAGTATTCGGGAGTGCATTATATACTGGGAAAAAGCTCGTATACCCACGAAATTCGGGAGTGCATTATATACTGGAAAAAAGCTCGTATACCCACGAAATCTTTTCCCAATTGTGTTAAAAAACTTTGCAAAAATATGCACAGAAAACCCAAGACGTGTTTAAACAGCGTCGACAAATATTTGTCAGGAACTTGGTCTTCTTATTTGATATTGCTAAGATAAGATTGATAGATTGATCGATTGATCGATTGATTGAAGATATTAATAAGGACTTTTTGCAACGGCAACGGGAGCCAGGTCGTCCGGGTCACTTAGGTGGAGTAGACAAAAAAGCGACCGATAAAGACGAAAGGGCGCGCCTGAGAATTATTAAGGAAGAGAAACGGCGATCTAAATATATCGCAGAGTCAACCCCATCAACATCCTCATTTGATCCTTTTAAGAAGACTTATCTGATTCGGACAATCGACATTTTATCGTTTTACCAATCTGAATTGACCAAAGATACAGTCCGAGATGACTATCGAGAACTAATTGAGCTCTCAGTGATATTTTTATGCGGAGATAAGAATCAAAAATTAAAAATTCTACCTCCCGGTGCACCAATCTCAGTGGATGGCGAGGGCGAATTATGCACTGAAAAAAGCACTTCTAAGCGCTCAACTGAAAATGACAAACAAGGATACTTTCTTTTGTCTTATATTTTGTAAAACAAATTAGTAATTTTCTTCTATTTTATATTTCAGACAAAAACATTTACGACTTCGTATCAGTCAAAAGTAAAGCGCTGTTCACCCGGCTTCAAATGGATGACAGTTTTCTGAACGAAGAACTATGGCCAAACATCGCTTCTTTTCAAGATGCCAAGAAAAAGGTTTCAATGCTAAGGGCAATCAATGATGTTGCTGAAAAGGCGGTTAAGATGATGCAAGAGTTTCATGCATTAATTACTGTTGAAGAGGAACAAAAACAGTTTTTAATACGCTGCATAGAAGAACACCGGAAGATTTATCCAGACTGTGAAAAACAAACATAAAAAAAGAAATTTGTATTTTCACAAATACATAATAATAAATAGCAATATGTTTCGTTTATATAAATATTTGATGACCTAAATAAACTCGATTTTTTTAGTAATCTTTAATACTTATTCTGTACAGAAATTTAGATTTTATGTTCGATATTAAGTCAGCACGGGTTGTCCTGATTCAATCGCCATAATATTTATTTTCTATGTTCATAAGGTCATTAAATTAAAATAAATAAAGAGTTCGCGATTTTAATTTAAAAAAAAATTCCACCTGTTTCCTTGGGACACACTAACATACATACTTAAGTTATAGCGAAACACTAACACAAAAACAAGCAGAATATCTATAGTTGAGTGACGCGACTATAAGATACTCTTTACTTTCTTATCCAATTTAAAATAATAATTTTGCTATCAAAAATGGACGCAGTGGGCATGGCCGGATGAAAAACCAGCGAGAGCTGCGATGGCATCTCTAGAATATGTATGCCGGCCGGATTGTGGGCGTAAAGGTAGGTGTGGCCGGATAATGGATTTCAAGATTATACATCCTTTATCCCAATTTTCTAGCTCTAATAGTTCATAAGATCTCAGCGATTTTAGTTTTTCGGTATTTGTGGCAGAGTGGCAGAATGCTGAATAAACTTACGCTGCGTATGTTTGTTAATGTCGAATGAAGTTTTTTTTTGTTGTATTTTCAAGACTTCGATTCAAAGTTAAAGACTATTGCGTAACTTCGTAGGCAATGCTCTCTTTTTGTGTGCAAAATTGAGTTTTTAAGAAGTGTGAGAGGAATTACTGGCTCATACCTTTTTTGCTTATATTATCTTTAAAAAGAGAGCTTGCATATTTTGCTGGTCATTATTGCGATACCGCAGTAATTGCACACTAATAACGGATTAGTGAGGAAACGCACGAAACTTTTTCATTGGAAGTGATTATTTTTGTTTTTGACCCTCCAACTGATATTTGTATTGTAACAAATGAGCAGACAGATTTCAAAACATTGCATCATTCACCTTGCCATCAGTGCCCTCTTCAAATGTTACACACGGCATCATAGTCAAAAATTGTCTTTTACGATTCCCAAAAAAAGTTGTCAATTTCATACTTACTATATTAATTTAATTTGTACTCCGAGCTAATGTTCCGACAGTTTTAATAATTTTGTTAAGAAAAATCAAGAAGTATATTAAAATTACAATATATAATCAACAAACGCTTGCTCTTTAAGGCAAAAACATATCTAATGAGACTGTTCCAAAGCTCAGACAAATATGACAGCCAATCTATGCCATAATAAACACGATGAAAGCCAGGGAAATCCCACCATGTTATTCTCTCTACACTTTTATATATCATACTCCAATGACTTCCGGCTAGATGACTATTCCCGCTTATACTTAAGCTGTCGCGGCGCTTTTAGACGAGCTTTGGGGTTTCGATAACTGGTAGAAAGTTACCGCTGTCTCAAGGCTGTTTAAAAACGCAAGCGAGTCAGTGTAAATCAGTTGCTCAGTGGTCGTTCTTCGTTTCTTTTTTCGTGTGGCTTAATGCTCATTTGAGGTTTTGGTATCATTTAAAATTTTCACCTCATCAGCAAAACTTTTTCGTAAGCGGTGTTTTTGGATCAACATATAAGTCTGTGCTGCTATTGATTATCATTTAGTTAAATGTTGGTAGCCAACGGGCCGGGGCCTTCAACCCAATCGGAAATGCATTTTTTTATTGTAAGACATCGGATGCCTGTCCAAACATCCATGCATACGATTTAAATGTCCTTCTGTTTTAGGTATCGTGCCTTTTAGGTGTTGCTGCGGCAACTCAGCAGGGATACAACAACCAGAGATTTCCAGAGCAGGGACTTCCGCAACAAGCACTTCTGGCCCCAGAAGTGCAGCATTACTCGTCTGGAAGTCAGGTAATCAAAGCTTACTCCACATCAGCCCAGCACAACCATAACTCTGTTCATCAACCACAGCTGACTCAGCTTGGCGGGAATGTGGGACACCATTCTCAGCCGCAGCAGCAGCTTATCTCAAAAGACATCTATGTACATGTGCCACCCGCAGATGAGCCGGAAATAGGTTATCCTCAGTCTGTCCTTCCGCCCGCGCCCCCTCGCAAGCATTACCGCATTGTGTTCATTAAGACTCCGACTCCCAGTGCCACTAAGACGGCTCTGCGCATTAAGGAGGCTCCTGTGGAGGAGAAGACCATTATCTACGTGCTAACGAAGAAGACTGACCCACTGGACTTACAGACTGCCATTGAGAAAATAGCGCCCAAGCAGATCAGTAAGCCAGAGGTCTTCTTTATTAAGTACAAGACTCAGGAGGAAGCTGAGCATGCGCAACGCACCATTCAAGGTAAGCAACACCAGGACCGATCAGATTAATAATTTCTTCTTTTTTTCTTTTATTTTTTATACTTCCTGATGGAGTTTAGGCTATATAATTTTCTAACGCATCTTTTAAATTTTTAATTTTATTAATTCAGCGATTTTAAGTAAATACTTATTTGGTATAATATATTGTTGGGGATTATTTCGTTTTTTTTGCCGAGTTATTCATAGTGCTTCCATCTTCTTTCAGCTCAATATGACCAGCTTGGAGGCACCTCACAGGTCTCCGATGAGGGAATTGCTCCTGTTACGTCTGTGATAGGTGTCTTAGACAACCACCGCACGAGTGGGGTTTCTACCGGAAAATTTTCGGTCTCCTTGGCTAACAACTACTTGCCCTCCAATTTGAATACTTAGATAAAAAACGATGACTAAGAACGAAAGGTCGTATTTTTTACATAACTACTTTTGTAAATATTTAGTTAAATAAAGTTGATCATTTGGCAACCGTCCCAATGACTAAAAAGAATAATTGACAAAAACGTGTTTCGATTCACAAATTTTTTAAAGTCTTGCCTAAGGCCTATTTTGACCATTACTACAATGATCAATGGCGACCAAGAGCAGTGGGAAAACTGGTTGCATTAATTAGCATTTTATGAGTCGTATAAACCAACGAATAAATACCATGAAAACTTGGTTTTAATGGCTAAATTAAAATATGGCATGTGTTAATATATTTTATATCAATCATTTAAATTTTAAAATATTCCATCTTCTAAGTGCATTGTCTCTTATATTTTAACGGCCAACGGCCATTACCAACTTATATATCAACACAATTTTACGATTTAAATTAAAATTTATGTTTTTTTAATTCTCAAATTTTGCATGTATAATAAATACAAATAATAAAATAAAATCAATAAACTGCAATACACTTATATAAAATTCTTGGCTGGAATGTAATTCCTTGCCAGCACTGAGGGTGCAAAGGACCCGGTGGATTGCTGCTGAGCACTCTGGCTTAAAGCTGGAAACTGAACAATGTGTTGCGGAGGGGTCTGAATGATGGCCTGCGCTTGGGACTTCTGGGGCGCAAAGGAATCTATTTTGAAGGAGTCATTGGAAACGCTTGTGATAGGGGCAACGCCCTCGTCCGTAATGTGAGTGGCTCCACCTAGAGCGTCGTATTGAGCTTGGATTTCTTGTTGGGCGCGTTGGGCCTCTTCCTGGGTCTTGTATTTGATGAAGTAGACCTCAGGCTTGTGCACTTTGACATCGGACTGGCTGACCTGTAGCTGCTGCTGAATCTCGGTAATATCGGGTTTCTTTGAGAGCACATAGATGACAGTCTTTTCCTCGTTGCTAGACTGCGCATGTTTTAGTGCGGCAGCGGTGTACTTCGGGTTCTGGAACGGCGCCTTGATGAAGACAATGCGGTAGTTCTTTCGAATAGGTAGTTTTTCCAAATGTTGCTCTTCCTGCAGGAACTCATCTGTCTCTTCAGGTGCGGAGTGGATATATATATCTTTTGTGACAATCGCAGGTCGTTGGACGTACTGGGTCTGTAGCACTTGCTGCGAAGAGCTGATTAGGTTTTGTTGGGGCAGAACATTAATCACGCGTTGCTGATGTAGAGCTATTGGCAAGGGAGGCGGAATTGGTACGGCAGGCTGGCTCTGGTGAGTCTGGCTACCAGTCTGGGCCAGATTTGGGATGGTATCACCAGAATAAATTCCACTTGTTGAGGCGGGTGTTTGCGGTCGAAGATTGCCGATGGGTAGGGCCGTCCCCTGTGGCTGGTACTTGTATCCCTGGGGAGCTGCTGCTGTGATTGCAACTAGGCTCTATGAGGATGACATCATGTATTAACTTTTGCGTTCGAATTTTTTACAGTGATCTTTTTCCTTACCATTAGAACGATAAACTGCTTCATTTTAACTTTGAACTGCCTGAGCCGCAAAGGTCTTCTGATACCTGCCTTCGCAGTATCTATGTTTTTATAGATGATCAGCCTGGTTTTTCAAAAGAAAAACGATTGCATGTATTATGGACGTCATAAGATCGAATATGTAACGCAACACCATAGGCTGTTGCCAAACATCAGATATATATGTATGTGAAGATAAATTTATTTCAATAGTCTGATATTATCTAACCCGACGCCCAATATATCGTCAATATGTATTGATATTTAAATAATCGTTTTATAATCGCATAGTGAGTAAAGCTTCGCTTTTATTAACCAAATTCGGATAATAAAAAGAAAGTCAGTTTTATGCATAGAAATCAATACGAAATTATCAGGAACGATCTGCATTAATTATCACTGATTAGTTGGACTGGCTAAAGTCGATGTCGATGTTGGTTCAAAACTGGCTGGGTCACGGATGCATAGATTACATTTTGGGCTTTTCTTCAAAAGTAAAACCATAAGAAACGCTAGTACCGAGTCATGCAAATATCACATACCCTTTACTGTGTAAACTATTTTTTAAGTATTAACAATTTTTAAAATAATAATTTTGACGGACGTACCGACGCCGTATGTAATTTTACTATCGCAACTTTTTACCAGATCCATATAAAACATGATTATTTACTGTTAGTTTCGTTAGAGTCCATCTTACTCGTATGGCCTACATATCGTAATGCATTATGTAGTATTCATTCGATTAAAAAAATTTGGTAAATTAATAGGTATCATTTAAAAAATAATAAACAATAACCTACACAATTATTTTGAGTATTGTATATTGTGGGTGTGAGAGTGGAAGTGGCTGTATTAAAAAATAATAATATGTACGCCTAGTCCCAACTTTAAATTCTTATATTTCCTGGGACCTCATGGCTTCGGTCTAGCATTAGTCTAGGATTAGCAGAAAAATAAACTAAAACAACAAGAAGAAACGCTATAGTCGAGTGCCGCGACTATAAGATACCCGTTACTGTTATATACAATTTTAAAATATTCATTTTGCTAGTCGAAATTCACAAGGCGCCACCCATTGTCAGAGAACGCATGATGAGTAACTGATAGTGACGTCACTGCTCATGTGAGGCCTCATAACCTAAATTAATGTTCCGATTTAAAAAATCATTGGCAAATCGCTAGATATTAACTGAAAGGTCAAGAAAACAAAGTCAAACGAAGGCATTCATAATAATATTATAGACGCCACAGTTTTCCGCGGTTTATGGGCGTTTGAAAGGGCGTGGCAGAATCAAAATTCGTGACAAGCTGCAGTTTTCGGTTTCGGTTTCTCGGGTTTTGTGTAGGCTTGATCGGAAAAAAAAAATCGCATTGGGAGCATCATAAAAACCTACATGCTTAACCCGAACTTTCTATCGCTTATAGTTACCGAGGTATCAACTTTCCTAAAAAATGCGAAAAACTTTTCTTTTGCACTTGGTGGGCGTAAACGTGGGCGTGGCCAGAAAATAGTTCCACCATAAGATGCGCTGGCATCCCAAGATTATACATACTGAATTTCAACTTTCTAGCTCTAATAACCCCTGAGATTTAAGGGATTTTAGTTTTAGATTTTAGATTTGGATTTGGCGTGGAAATAAACTTGCGCTGCCTATGGACCTCAAGAATCTTCATGCTTAATCTCAACTTTGTATCTGTTATAGTTCCAGAGATCTCAGCGTTCATACGGACAGACGGACAGTCGGACAGACGGACATGGATCAATATGGATATATATAATTTATAGGGTCGGAAACGCTTCCTTCTACCTGTTACATACTTTTCAACGAATCTAATACACCCTTTTACTCTACGAGTAACGGGTATAATAATAAATATGTAAAGGAAATGAGGCCCTATCTGTTTGAAACTCTGTAAATTAAGATATATTTCTAAACCGACTGTAGCAATATTTTAAACAGACAGACAGAAATTCCAAAATTTCTTAATAAATCGCGAAATAATTTTCCGATTGTAAACATTTTCTTACTCTTACAGTTCCTGAGATTTCATTGATTTTAGTTTTTCGTCATTTGTGGATGTTGCAGTGGGAGCGGCCAGTCAAAGTAATATGCTTCGGTGACATCATTGAAAGCAACAGGCTTAATCCCAACATTCTATCACTTATAATTACCGAGATTCCAGCGTTTCTACAAAAAGCGGGATCTGTTTTTCGTTCTTGGTAGGCGAAAGAGTGGACGTGGTCGCATGATGGTAGCACCTTAACATGCGCTACCATTTCAAGACTATACTGTTTAATACCAATTTTCCATCTCTAATAGTTTATGAGATCTCAGCGATTTATTTTTTTGGTGTTTGTGGGCTTTCTTACACTCAGGCGTTACAGAATGCTGAATCCTTGCCCTGCAAGAATCTACATGCTTGATTCCAACTTTGTATCTCTCAGGGTTTATATTAACAGCCGGGCAGATTGACAGGCTTGGCTATTGATTCTTATCAAGAGTATATAATTAATTAATAATAAAGAATATATTAAATAATTTCCACGTTATACGTTTGAGTACAACCTGACTTTAACAACTTACTTTATATTCTAAATCTTCAGCAATCATTCGGAAATGCTTATGTATTCTATAATACTGCCTACAGTCCATATTGAGCCTTAGGCCGACACTTAGCTTAGCTGAATACAATGATTGGTCGAATAGGACATTTATAATTAAATTTGTATTAAACATACTTGTATTTGTACAGATGCGTTGCCTTAAGCCTGCAAAGGTGGAAGTGACCTGAAAACTGTTTTAAGGACGATATGGCTACCTCAGAGCTTTAAGGCGACATTCGGGCAAATGCCGGGGGGCACTCACTCTCAAAGACCTACCGTAGTACTTAGAAATACCCATACTAAATTGCACCATGCATATATATACATATGCTATGATAAACAGTGCCAAGCAAACAATAATTTAACAAATACTATACAATAATCTTTTATGACTTTGCCTCCTAATAAGCATGGCTTATCTGCATAAAAATACACTTGCTAGGCTAGCCAGTCACTTACTGGGACCCGTGCACTGGGTGAAGAAATCTATGATGTACAAACAAAATATGGTGTATTTAAATTAAAGAATACACTTTATAGGTCAATAAATGTTCAATAAATTTTAAAATTGGTTTAATAACTTATTGTAATTTGTACATAATCTTTTTGTAACTTGAATACTCGTATATGTTATATATAATATTAACAATAGAAATATACTCTGCAGTTTTTTAAGATTTCCATTTATTAATAAAAAAAAAATAAAATATTTTTAATAAGAATAAACTTTATTTCACACGCTATTCCAATATAAGCGCTACCACCGTGCAATGAAATCCGACATCCGTCGAATTGGTCTGATATGCTTAAGAAATAAAGTTCGGCTCCCAGTAGCTTTGAATAAGCGATACAAACACAACCAGAGTTTTGTGATGGCGACCTCTTATTTAGCTTTTGCCGCATCTGTGGCACTAATTCTTTGGGTGTGGCCTGAAAAATTGCAATGCCAAGTGCGTTACGTGCGGCACCTCTCGGAGCTGCGGATTAAAGGGCTTGAGGACTTGGCTGTTCACATCCAGAGCTCCATTAATACTGACAAGTACGCATGCGAGAGTTACTTCGACTATGTATGCAGCCGAAATCGACCACTTTTCTCCATCATAGGTATGTTGGCATCTTGAGGGAGTACCTAATACAAATACACAATCTTAGGCCACAAGCCACAGATGAGCGACCTGATGCAGTTGCTGACAGAACTTCAGAATGACCCAGAGCAGTTCGAGGCAAAGCAAAAAATGATGGACTTCTTTATATCTTGCAACTTGCAACATGAGCTGGAAGATTGCTATCGAGAAACCTTTGAGTTCTTTAAGCCACTTTTTGGGTACATTATTACAAAAAACTTGCTTTATGAAGGATCCCAGGAGCTAGACGTCTTTCTGGGCATTTTGGACCGCTTCGTCGCGAGGATGCAGAAAAACAGAGACTCGAATCCCATTCTCGGCAAACTTGCCACGTACAAGCAAAAGTTCAAAACGCCACGTGTCTACTTTTACGCCAGAGATCTCAGCCGAGAGTACCAGGAACTACACATCTACCGGGAGAGCTACGAGCACAACGTTCGCTACCTAGAGTTCCATCGAAAGCAGAATTCAACTTACGAGACTGGTGTTCAGCGCATCATGCTGGATTGGAGCATATATCTTTTCCAGAGCCGTAACAAACCCATGTCGTATTTTTACTCAACGTTTACCGTGCACTTGTACATGATGCTTTTTAACGGTCAGGACCGTCAGCGTGATTTCACGCGATTCCGCGAAGAAGTTGAGTGTCTGCGGCTGCCGCAATTAGTAAATGTCCTGGATGAAGCCAGAATGCTGGCCGTGATCTACTTAAAGAGCTTTCGAGCCGCCTGGGTAGACTACAGCACCTGGATAAAAACACCACCACAGAACAATGGTATCTACGATTACGAGAACAGCATCCTTCAAAAATACAATCTTGACAATAAGCGCATCTTTTTTACACTTTACGCTCAAAACTTTTGTGAGTTTGGCAAAGATCTGGCTGAAAACGTCTTCTATCTGGGCCTTAAGCAAAATAAAGACTTCTTTGACATATACTCATGTGGGTTTCAAACGAAAAACACTATGACGTGTGTATAAAAGATTTTTAGTTATACATGTAAAATAGATAATCATGGGTGACACGGCATGAAAAATGTGAGATTCTATTTTTCAAACGCTTTTCTACTTGAACTACTTTTTTTTCTCGCTCTTTTTCCAATAATATTTCTTTAACTCCTATTTTCTGTATAATGATAAATTGTTTATTGTGAATTAAATAAATTTAAATGACACCCTTAATAAACTTTCCGTTTTCATTTAATTGGAAGGATTTACTGACTTCATAACGAGAGGGTAAATAAAGTGAACTATAATCAGTACCAATGGACCCTAAATTTCATTTTAGAACCAATATATTTTAACATTTCCCAGTTAATAAAATATATACAGTGATGGAAAAAATAATAGAAACGATTTTTCAATTTGGGTTTGAATACGTACTTTTAATAAGGAACGTGGTGATGATTGGATATTTTTATTTTTTTTTATTTACTTACATCTAGCTTACATACTAAAAAACAAAAATTCATTTAACTTTATTCATTTAGCTAAAAAAATATATTTAAGTCAAATTTTATGTTTTTGACTTGGAAATAAAAATAGAAACGAAGTGACTTATCGTCATCCAAATTGACTAGCTTAGCAAAATTAACCATGAAATGTTTTCAGGTTTAATATTTTGTTGCATTATCATGATTTTTCAGAAATTCCGGCACACCTACGAGGCATAGACTCCACAGGATTGGAGCATATTGCTGGCTTAATGGAGTACCACTCCTCCTGGACTTTCTCCCACAAATGCTCCAGGAGGAGTGGTACTCCTAACGGCCAAATCACTCCCGGACCTCTCATCTGACTCCCCTATACTAGTAACGCCTCTTCATAGCCCCGAAATCATAAACCACTTCCATAGGTTGATGTCGCACACAACGAATTGGCCAAAATACATCGACAGCTCAACCATCGCTCTGGAATTAGTACTTGTCGCAGCAGCAAAAATTATTATAACTTTTATTTATTTGTTATTTAGGCCAGTTAATAAACAATATTTATTGAAAACTCAACCGCGTGTTTGTTCACCCTCTTCAACTGCTTTTTAGGTTATGATTAGTTATGTGTTTATGATTCGATACTATCGTACTAACGATATGATATTTCAAGGGCCCTCTGACTTGGCGGGTAATTTTGAATTAGAAACATTTATCTTCAACACTTTCCCTTGTGAGAATTCAAAATTCTAAACTTATGACTATATAAAGTAAAAATAAATGGTGTTTTTTCTCCTTCAGAAGAGTCCAATCCTGGTGCAAAGAATCCGGAGACGAGTATTGAGGATCGGCTTCGTCATCATATCAGCAAGTTGTTCCTCAGTCGGGATTTGTTCTATCCCAAATTCTCCCTCAGCAATTCTTTCCCTGATAAAGAAATGCTTGTTGGCTATGTGCTTGGTCCTGCGATGGAATTCGGGGTTTTGGGCCAGTCTCATGGCAGCAACATTATCGACCTGGAGAATCTCGGTCCAATCTGTCGATTTCCTGGAACAATCTCTTTAGCCAAATTATTTCTTTTGCAGCTTCATTTGCTGCTACGATCTCAGCCTCAGTAGTAGAAATGGCCACCATAGCCTGCCTTTGACTTTGATTCTATGGCTCCTGAAGCAAACATGATGATGATCCCTGATGTAGATCTTCCGGTCCTAGTACAGCCACCAAAGTCAGCATCGCTGTAGCATTCGAGGATTCCCTTCTTCTGTTTCCGATAGACTATCCCAACGTTGATTGTACCGGAAATGTAACGGAAAACCCTCTTCACTTGAACAATGTTTTCTTTTGCAGGATTTTCAAGCGTTCTTGAAAGAAATCCGATGCTGAAAGCCAAGTCTGGCCTAGTTCCAAGCATGAGGTACATGAGAGCTCCGATGGCTTGGCGATAAGGGAACGCAGTCGTCTCTGATTCTTTCCCTGCTGTCGTAATTTCCAAATTCTTGAGAAGTGGGGTTGAAACAGCTTTGCAATCAGTGAATCTGAATCGCTCGAAAATCCTTGTGGCATACCCTTGTTGATTTTTAGTCCATTTTCTTGTTTCATGATTTCAAGTCCCAAGAAGCACTCAGCCTTGCTTGAGACAATTTTGAACTCTGATTTTAGCTCGTCCAAAAATTCTTCCAAATCTTGCGTATCTGTTGCTGCGGAGAGTCCGTCATCTACGTAAATAACGAGTAGAATCTTTTTGCCATTTCTTTCCCTGATGTAGAGACATGGATCTGCCTCGCTGACTTTGAAATTGTGTTTCCGCAGGAAACCTCCGAAGCGTTCTTGCCAACATCTCGGCCCTTGCTTAAGCCCGTAGAGACTCTTCTTCAATCTGCAAACAAGCCCCTGTCCTTGCTCGTATCCCTCAGGTTGTTGCATGTAAATCTCCTTGTCGTCCAATTCACCGTATAGAAAAGCTGTCGAGACGTCAAACTGGACCAAAAACACATTATTTTTGGCTGCAACCCTCAACACTGAGCGGATTGTTTCCATTCTTGCGACAGAGCTAAGCTTTGTATTTGTCGATACTTCCGTCGGGGTGGGTTTTGACTCGATAGACCCACTTGCACGGAAGTGCTTTCGATCCTCTGGGGAGTCTTGTCAAGTCCCAAGTTCCTTCTGATATAAGGAATCAATTTCCCTGTCCATTGCCTTTTTCCACTCGACGTTGCTGTTAATGGCTTCATGGAAGGAATCTGGACTCTCCAGCACAAAATTCTCGGCTGCTGCTACGTAGTCATCCAGATGCTCCGGTCTCTTCAACTTCGAACGATCCCTCAACCGCATTGATTGCATTTTTCTCTTGTTGTTTTCTTCTTCGTCAAAGCTTGTTTCTACTCCGGTTTCGTAACTGCTTTCGCTTCCTGTTTCGGCTGTGTCTTTTTTCACGTCTTGCTCCTGAAGTGTGTCTTCGTCCTCGCTCTGGTGCAAGCTCACGTCTTCTTCTTCCTTATTTTCTACGACGTCCTTGGATTCAAAATCTTGAAAAGGTAGGTCGACGCCTGGTTCACAATTGCTGAATTTCTCTTGAAATTTTACGTCCCTCGACACGACTACTTTGTGCTTCTCTGGTAAGTAAATACGATATCTCTCATCGCCGTCGTAACCCACCAGGTACCCCTTTTCAGCTTTTTCGTCCATCTTCTTCCTTTTTTGGCATGGAATGTGATTCCTACGATTCGAAGGTGTTTGATTCTTGGCTTCTTGCCCCGCCAAAGTTGGTAAGGGCTCAAACCCTTCAATGAAGATTTGCCCGTCCTATTGAGAACGTAGACTGCTGTGCTGACCAACTCGGCCCAAATTGCTTCTGGAAATTTTATTTCTGTATTAGAATACTTGAAAGTTCTCGCCATTTCGACTATCGTTCGATTCTCTCTCTCGACACCACCGTTTTGTTCTGGAGTATAGGGAGCGGTGAGTCGAAAAGTTATACCAGCTTCCTGAAGAGTTCTCTTACTCCTGCACAGTCGAATTCTCCTCCATTGTCGCTCAGGAATTCCCGAATTGTGTGCCCTTGTTGCTTGGAGTGAGAAACCATGTGTCGCAGCACGTCCTTGACCTCTGACTTCTGCTTGACGATGTACCCGTATCGAAACCTGGTGAAATGATCCTTAAAAACTACCAGATACCTCTTCTTCTGGAAAGAATCCTCAAATGGGCCGCAAACATCGCCAGACATCAGTTCCCCTGGCTTCATCGCTGGTTTCCTCGTTCCAAATGGCAATCGATGCGCCTTTCCAAGGATGCAAGGCTCGCAAAAGCTACTCTCAATCTTGATTTGAATGCCCATTTCTCTTTTGAGCATGTCCTTGATGTGATTCTTGTCTTGATGTCCCCACCTCTCGTGGTAGAGTTGGAGAATTGAAGTTCCTGAAGTTGCGACGTTGACATCGACGTTTCGTTCTGGAAGTATGGGCTCGATCGCTGCTCTGTAGAATGTTCCTCCAACTTCTCTGGCTCCAACAAGGACAATCTTGTCGTTTATTTTGAGGGTGCACTCGGTTGCTGACGACTCAAAACGACTACTTGGATTATTGTCTTGGGCAGCCAAAACTGAAAACAGGTTCTTCATTATATTGGGAACAAACCATACATAGAATTTCTAATTCAAAATTACCCGCCAAGTCAGAGGGCCCTTGAAATATCATATCGTTAGTACGATAGTATCGAATCATAAACACATAACTAATCATAACCTATAAAGCTGTTGAAGAGGGTGAATAAACCATACATTTTTCAAAGAAAGAAAAAGAATTTTTCCATTGACAATCGTTTTGACTTTGATTGTGCCCTGGCCCAAAGCTGACAAGGTTTCATTTCCAGCTGCTCTTATCCAACTCGGATTCTCAAACTTCTCAAAATGCTCGAAATACGTCGCAGTCTTCACAACGTGTTTTGTTGCACCGTTGTCTATCCACCAGTCGACCTCTGAGTTTGCCTCTGCTGCAAACACGCTATTGTGGACTGAGACGAGAGTTAACGTTGGTTCTGCACAATTTCCTTGTTCAGCATACAAATTTCAACACCAAAGAGAAATTATGAATCGCCAAATCCGTAGCTAAGAAACCTTCTGAACCAACATCTTGCTCTGGAGAGAGAGACGCCTGCATAGGGTCTGTCAAACCAGCAGATCGTCAGCATCGAAGAAGCTACTTAAGAAAGTCTTAAGCAATCTCTCCAAACGTCATAAAACAAAATGCTGAAAAAGTTATCAGCGGCCAGCTTCCTTTGTGGCAAGCCCATCCAAATGTAAGCAACTTAGTGAAACAATCACCCCAATTAGATATACTAAAGGAAATTTGGCCCGTGGCGACGATGACAGCAAAAAAACATTTTTGCAGGACCTAAGAACCGCTTTTCAGCCCAACTGTGCAACAACAGTAATTCGTTCGCTTTACCACAAACAAGCTCTAGCAACGGACCCGCTCCACTGAGATTGCTACAATTATCAAAAAACATCCAAGAAGGCACCGGGTGCAGATCAAATAACCCAAATATAATAATAAGACTGACGAATTGCGCTATCTGCTTCTCTTCAAAGGGATAACGAGTCTTGGCTACTACCCAGAAAAATGGAAAATAACGATTATAATAATGATTCCGAAATCTAGAAATGACAAAACTAATCCATCATCAAATGAGTGTCTAACTTCATCCACTTTGGCTGACGAAACCGCCATACTGAACCGGTCGAAGTGTCCGACTCGA